CAAAATACATGCTATCGGATGATGTGGGACTGCTAGGATATGTGGAATGGCGTGTTTCACCTCTAGTGAGGGGCCCTTCTGGAGGAGGATCTCCCCTCTGCCTACCAACGGGGACTCAGAGTGTCGAAGAATCACCATAACTTGGGAGTTAAAGGTTTTTTCTTTGTCTTTTTCAGTTAGCACACGTTGTCCAGATGTTCAGGTCTGTGCAGTTTTAAGTTGTCTGGAGGCTAAAGAATGTAACACGGGATTGGATCATTTAAATGCCATATAATAATATAAAACTGGAGTCACTTAATGTAAATGGGATGACTGGGGGAGATTATAATGTGGTCATGAACCATAACATAGATACAACAAGCTCCAAAAGAAGCAAGAAGCATCTAAACAAAGTTTATTAATGCATCAGTGCAGTAAATGGGACGAATCGATGTGTGGAGAGAACTACACCCATTAGAAAGGGACTATACACACTATTCAATGCCTCATTCTGTCTACTCCAGAATTGACTACTTGTTAATTAATACGGGTGAAATTCATAGGGTCACAGAATGTAAAATCGGGGTGGCAGATATATCAGATCACAGTGGGATCAGCTTGACAATACACCTAAATAATAGGAAAATAAATACTGTATGGAGGCTTAATGTGGGCATCTTGAACAATAGGGCAAATGTGGAACAGATAAGAGAAGAAATAAAAAGATATATAGAAGAGAACGATAACAAGAGATAGAGATAAATGAGATACTCAGGACAGATATAGAAAAGAGGGCAAGATTTGTAAAGCAGACATACTATGAATCAGGCCCAAAAGCGAGAAGGCTCTTAGCTAGACGCCTGCGGAAACAGCGAGCCATTAACACAATTCATAAAATAAGGAACCCTTAAACCAACCAACTATCACACGAACCAGATAAAATAGAAAGAATATTTGAAGAATACTACCAGAAACTCTATTCTAAACCATTATCAGCTGATGAAAAAACAATAAGAAGTTTTCCCTACACGCTAGACCTGCCATCTATTGGTGAGACACAGAATGACCCTATTACCTCACAATTCTAAGTTAAGGAGCTAGAAGCTGCAATTAGTAGGTTAAAGAGTAGCAAATCACCAGGTAGCGATGGGTACCCTTCGGAATGGTATAAGGCCTTTCAGAAGGAGCTAACACCTTTGCTTCTGTCCTGTTTTAACTGGACCCTTGATGAGGGCCCCCCCGCCATCGTGGAAGGAAGTGATTATTACCGTTCTACCTAAAGAAGGCAAAGATAAAGAAGACTACAAAAACTATAGGCCGATTTCACTTTTAAATGCTGACTACAAATTATTTACATCAATTATTTGCTAAAGACTTGAGGCCCAAATACCAGATTTGATTGATGAAGACCAAACTGGTTTTATTAAAGGTCGCCAAACACACGATAATATAAGAAGAACCCTCCATATTCTAGACAACGCCCAAAAAACCAGTACAAGTACAATTCTGGTTAGTTTGGATGCCGAAAAAGCATTTGATAGTGTTAGTTGGTTATTCTTGTATGAGGTACTAAAGATATTTGGCTTCAATGAAAAGGTAATCCAATGTATTAAAACTATGTATCAAGAGCCCACAGCTAAGATCAGAGTAAATGGAAGCCTGTCCAATTCGCTTCAGTTGGAGAGGGGGACAAGACAAGGTTGTTGTCTGTCTCCCACTCTTTTTGCTTTGTATGTCGAGCCTTTAGCACAGGCATTAAAGCAGAGTGGGGAACTGCAGGGTGTCACTGTAGGGGAGACTGAACATATCACATACTTGAAAACAATTATAGTGAAATTGAAAAAAACATCCAAAAAGATATTGAAAGGTGGTCTACCCTACCATTAGACTTCAGTGCTAGAATACGGACAGTCAAAATGAATATTTTACCCAAATTGTTATATTTATTTCAAGCTCTTCCAATTAATATTGCCCAAAAC